CCCCCCCCCCCCCCCAAAAAAAAAAAAAACTAGGGCTGCTGTAATCAACAGGGCAGGTTCCATGTGGATACTATAGTGGTTACCCTGACACAGGTTATAGTACTAGCTTTCCTCTCTCCCTGTAGCAAATCCCATTTGTAACCTCTACTGACCTGTTCTTCTCTTTTTTCTGGTCTTTTTTTTTTTGCAGGCACTGGGGAAAGCGGGAAGAGCACATTCATTAAACAGATGCGGATAATTCATGGCTCGGGCTACTCAGAAGAGGACAAAAGGGGCTTCACCAAGCTGGTGTACCAAAACATCTTCACTGCCATGCAGTCCATGATCAGGGCCATGGAGACCCTGAAGATCCTATACAAGTATGAACAGAACAAGGTGAGCCCCAGGGCATGACTCCATCTGGGTGTCATCCCAACCCTTGGTACATTTCCTTTCCTTGGCCCGTGTGGATTTCCTGTGTGCACACAGGAGAGCAGCTGTTCTGTTCCTCATGAACAAGGTTGTTCATAGGGCCACTCTTATTTAGGGCTTATAACAACCACAAAAAATTTGCCCCGGGCTGAAACTTGGCTTGCAGATCTTGGGTCCAGGAGTAAATTTTTCAGCCAAATATGGTTTAAATGAGTTCAGCTGGCTTAAAGGTGTACAAGTGCCAAGAAATCAGATTTTAGTATGTGTGCTACTTTTTATTGGCTTATTTTTCCGAAATGAAGTTGTTTGACAGTTGGATCAGATCATTTGTGCAGTGCTGACTTTTCGTTTCCGTGTATAGTAACTGCTTGATATAGGGGAAGTTCTTGAACACTGAGCTCCTTTTATGTTTTTAGAGATGGTCCCACAATGCTGAGAAATGGGCATGTTGTGAAGTAGCTTGTAGGACCCATATTTTAACTGGTGTGTGGCTGAGAGTGGGGGATAGATCCCCTTCTCCTTAATGTACATAGCATTCAATCTAGTTCTCGTCTTCCTTTTAGGGAATAGGATTGTGCAGATAGAAAGAATTTTGCTTCTTGTTGCAGCTTTATAGGGTTTTCAGGGTGTGGTTTGGGGTTGTGTGATAACTAGGAAAATGTGATGGGCTGTCATGTTGGTTTAAGTCTTATTTAAGCTATATGGCATCAATAGGAATAACATTCTCTTCTACCCCTACTTGAAGGAGAGACCTTCATTACAGTGGATTATGGTAGTATCTTCCAGGCTCTTAAAAATTAAACAAAGCCTTAAAATGAAACCTGTGATGGGTACACTCAGGTAGCAAAACTGCCTTAGCTCCCCTGATAGCAGGAAGTTTGGGCTCCCACTTCTTCAAATCTTTATGCAGGTAGTTGCAGTATATCTAAACCAGTGGCTCTTAACCTATTTGCCATAGTGGGCCACACTTACAGCTCTCAATGTGTTGTGGGCTGCACCCAGAACAGCTTACTTCCCATGTATCCATTTAACAGGATGTTACAGTGTGCTGTTTAGGCTGCATACGGGCCGCGGGTTGAGAACTACTGATTTAAACTGTTGGTGACTTAATGATCCTGTGCAGCTGGATAAGCCGTGTTAGTGCGCTGCCTTTTCTGCTTAAATCACTTCCGTCAAGGACCATGTGATGCTTACAGGGACTTCTACGAAGTGGCAGCTATTAAAAATGCAAAATTGAAGCATTTCCTTTTTACCCTAATGCTGATCCCAGAAAATCTGGATCCGGTTGTTTGTCAATGTGTAGTTTGTCCATGGTTGTTTTCCCTATGTCTTCATCTATGACCTTGATGTGGCCTTCCTTGAGGCCTCATTAGGAGGATCTTGCTTTAATATATGCTCTGCTGTCTTTTGCTCTTCTGCCCTCAGGCCAACGCACTGCTGATTCGGGAAGTGGATGTAGAAAAGGTCACAACTTTTGAGCAGCCATATGTAAGTGCAATTAAGACATTGTGGAATGACCCTGGAATTCAAGAATGTTATGACAGGAGACGAGAATATCAGCTCTCAGACTCGGCTAAGTAGTAAGTATATAAGCACTTTGTCATAGGATATCAGTCAAAAAAAAAAAAAAATCTGCCTAAAACCGTAGCTGAGGTCTGCAGTAAATAGTTATCACTGTAAGATGATTTTGCTGTCCTGTATTAATTTTACTTTTTAAATCTGATTCCTCCTCTTTATTACCATTATGTGGATGCTGCTAGTGATTCAAACTGGTGGGATTGTCTAGGAAGGGTGGCTATGTG